ACGACTATCGCCCAACACAATCATGTACCCATGTAAATCCCTTAACGTACCCCTGTGGGTACGCGACCCCAGTTTGGGAACCTTTCGCCTACGTGTAGTGCCGGCGCTCGCATCGGAAGCTTCGGGCTCCGTCCTGCGCCGGATCAACGCGGGAAGAGGCGCGAGGCAGCGGGCGCCGAGACAGGCCGAGATGGGGAAGAAAGGAGAGGGAGAGGGCGGAATCGTCTCTTTAGGCTTCTCGGTATAACACTCTCTTGCTATCTCCTTCCCACCCACCCACCCACTCTTCTTCCTTCTCTCCCTCCTCCTCCTCCTCCTCTCTTTTCCCTGTCCCTCCTCCTCCTCCTCTTTCCTTATTTTCTTCTTCTTCCTCCCCTCCTCTACTCTCTGCCCCTCCAACCATCTCCTCCTCTCCCACCTTCTATTCTCTCTCTTCATCCTCCTCTTCTCCCTCCACCTCTTCTTCCTCCTTCTCCTCCCCTTTTCCCTCCTCATCCTCATCGTCACGTTCTTTCTCTTCTTTACCCCCTCCTCTCTTTGTCTCCCCTTCGTCTCCTCCATCCCTTTCCCTCACCTCCGTGTTCAGTCCACCAGCAACGCATCACAAAAAATCAGAAAAATGCCTGAGACCGCTCGCCGGAAATAACTTGTTGTCTCAAACTGTCGGCGCGGTTCTGTTATTCGGAGCGGCCTTCCTTCCTACTCCTGCCATCCTCCGACTCGCCCCTTTCCGCTCGGCTATCCCTGTTGTCCTCCCTAATAATTCCCGAAGACGCTGCGAGGACAGAGTATCTTCTATTCCGCAAAATCCACGAGGACAACGGACGCCCCGATAACGACCCGAGCGGCGTTCACGGACGGTCGGGTCGTCCGAAAATGAAAGTATTCCAGGAAAGCCTTCGTCTACGGAAAGCCCTTACCCTCTCGTCCTGGGACAGCGCATCCTCCAGGCAACATTTCACCTTCTTGCTCTCACCCGCATCCCCGCCTCCCTCTCCATATCGCATTCCTTCCCATTTCCTTCAGCCGTCCCCTTGCTGGCAAACCCTCGGCAAGATTTATGAAAAGTAATCTAGGGGAAAACAGGCACAGTGAACAGTGGATAAGCAATATGTGTCTGAATCAAACAGGTGCGTCACTTTTATATCAGGATGTGTGTGAATTAAATATCTGAAAGAGAGAGAGAGAGAGAGAGAGAGAGAGAGAGAGAGAGAGAGAGAGAGAGAGAGAGAGAGAGAGAGAGAGAGAGAGAGAGAAGAGAGAGAGAGAGAGAGAGAGAAGAAAGAGAGAGAGAGAGAAAGAGAGAGAGAAAGGAAAGAGAGAGAGCGAAAGAGAGAGAGATGGAGAGGAGAGGAGGGAGAGGAGGGAGGGAGAGAGGGAGAGAGAGAGAGAGATAGAGAGAGAGAGAATAGATTAGAGAGAAGAGAGAGAGAGATAGGAGAGGAGAGGAAGGAGAGGAGAGGGGGAGGGGGGAGAGAGAGAGAGAGAGAGAGAGAGAGAGAGAGAGAGAGAGAGAGAGAGAGAGAGAGAGAGAGAGAGAGAGAGAGGGAGAGAGAGAGAGAGGAGAGAGAGGAGAGAGAGAGGAGGAGGGAGGGGAGAGGGAGAGGGAGAGGGAGAGGGAGAGGGAGAGGGAGAGGGAGAGGGAGAGAGAGAGAGAGGAGAGAGAGATGAGAGGAGAGAGAGAGAGAGAGAGAGAAGAGAGAGAGAAGAGAAGGAGAGAGAGAGAGAGAGAGAGAGAAAAGGGGGAAGGAGAGAGAGGAAGGGAGAAGAGAGAGGGGGGAGCAGAGAGGAGGAAAGAAAGAGAGAGAGGGGGAAAGAAGGAGAGAGAGAGGGGGAGAAGGTAGAGAGAGAGGGTGGGGAAAGAAGGGAGAGAGAGTTAGAGAGAGCAGAGAGAGAGAGGGAGAGGAGCTTTGGATGGTAGAGTTAGATGTATTCTGCTTGAGAGAGAGTAGAGAGAGAGGAGAGAGAAGTTAATAAAAAAAAGACGAAATATTAGAGAAGATATTAAAGACAGATAACATTGTGATAACTTTTTGTGTTCATCTGCTTCCCTAAGATGATGCTACTAGTGTACTATTTGTAAAAATAACTGTTTATTTCAAGTTCTCACATCCAACGTCATTCATCTCTGATTCTTTTTCTTCTCTCCCCCATGCCGCTCATCCAACCTTGGTCGCCGAGTAGGCTTGGGAAGCTGAACATAAACGTGCCGTCCTCTGCTATTTTTACGGAGATTGCCTGATAACTTCCCCGCGCCCTGCCTTTCACATCTAATGTAATCATTCGAATCCCCTCGTAGCTTCCCACTCTTCATTGTATTATTATATGACCGAACGCGGCAGGATGGATTTTTTGATTTTTTTTTCTAGTATTCCATTTTGTTATCATTGTTCGCCCCGTTGGCCGTGTAGAGAAGGTTAGTGGAAATTGTCCCTCTCGCAGTTGGTACCAGCGTGCCCTATAAGGTACCGGCAGCCAACTAGTAATCTGAGGGTAGGATGACGGTACGGATCTAGTTCATAGACTTTGGAAGCGGATGGATACTTTGCCTTGAGCTTGGATATCATGCGGATTCATTATCGTCTTCTCACTTTGGTATCACAATATCTCATGAAATTACCGCAAAGAAAAATGCTTGAAGATATCAGTCAGTCATATTGCATACTTCCAGGCGCGATGCGAAACTCTAAGAGGCCTTGCTTATCAATTCGAAGGCGAATGTTCCCACTCACGTCACCGTTCCCGTTCATTTTTTTCCTTGTTTTCTTCCCGCTCCCCGCTCCGTTTTCGGTCTTCTCCTTTTTCTTCTTTCTCTTCCTTTTCCTATATTTGCGGGCATCCTCTTTCTATCCTCTTTCTCCGTATTCTCCCGCTCTATAAAAAAAGACCTACAAGAATAACAATCAAGCTTACGAAGTCGACAAATGGCATTATTCTTATACCGTAACGCATTTATAAGGGCAGCAGATGATGATCGAACTGATGCCTGATCCTTCAGCTTGGGAAATTAGAATTGCTGTTCGCGCTAAAGATCTCGGCCGATCTTCTGCGGACGCTCCAGATCTTTGTTAAAATCTATCTCTTAATTCTCAGCATGCTTCTATTCAGGGCAACTGGCTACTACATTTCCCCTGCGTTACACGTCCTTCAAAATTTTATTTAATACTGTTGCGAAGCACGGTAGGATATGTCTATATGTGTGAGAGGTGGGGAGTGCAGACAAAGGAGGGAGAATGAGAGAGAATGAGAGAGAGAGAGAGAGAGAGAGAGAGAGAGAGGAGATGAGAGAGAGATGAGAGAAGAGAGAGCGAGAGAGAGAGAGGAGAGATGATGTGTGAGAGAGAGAGAGAGAGAGAGAGAGAGAGAAGAGGTAGAGAGAGAGAGAGAGAAGGAGAGAGACAGAGATGAGAGAGAGAGAGAGAGAGAAGAGAGAGAGAGAAGGAGGAGAGAGAGAACTGAGAGGCGGAGAGAGAGACCTGAGAGAGAGAGAGAGAGAGAGAGAGAGACTGAAGAGCGAGAGAGAGAGAGAGACAGAGAGAGCAGAGAGAACTGAGAGAGAGGAAGAGAGGAGAGAAGAGAGAGAGAGATAGAGATCGAGATCTGTAGTATTGAGTGAGTGAATCACGGATATGCAGTGGAAGATGAGAGTTGGCAAAGATGCGACGAGAGGGCCGGGCGGGCAGCTCGGCGTGGAGCCGAGTGGTGAAACAGACAGACAAACGTAGACACGCGGAGGGAGAGAGGGGAAGGGAGAGAGAGAGATCTGTGATGCATTGAAAAGAGCTCAAACGAGAGTGAAGAGACTCGGCTTCGCTCGCGAAGAGACTCTGCAGGACGCGACCACACTCGTCGGCTGCCTAGCCTGTACCCAGACGCTAAACTAGAATGTTCGCAGGCGCAGGCTGGCGTCGGATTCCGACCGCCGCCATCTCTTTGCACTCTCGGGAGGGCGTCTGGCGTTGCCTCGTTACGGGCCGCTATTGCCCTATCTG